GCAGCTTCATTGAGTTGGTCCTTCCCTTCAATCTGTTGTCCTGCAGGAACTGCACATGACAGAACAGGAGGGACAAGTTCTGTCCTCCCAGAGAACAACAGTCTTTGATTTCCAGACTTAAGTCTGGTCATCTACGGACAATGACTTTCCAGAATGGTTGCAGGGTTTTCCCACTATGTACTAAGTGTCAACCTGCAACCCCAAAACACATTATTGACTGTATTGACTCATCCATTGATGAGCTCTACTCTTCCCTAGCAGACACCATCAAAAGTCTCAAGCTTTACAAGCTTGATACCTTAATATGATTGAGTGGAGATAAGAAAGAATACGATGTTGTCCCAGGTTTCTGGACACCCGGCTGCTGGCCACCTGCTCTGACGACACCACTGTGGCCCTCTGGGATGTCCGCTTCCTCAAGAACAAGGTGCGGACTCTGGTGGGCCACTCCAACTGGGTGAAGAACATTGAATACGCTTCAGAGGCAGGGCTGCTGGTCACCTCTGGATTTGACGGCAGCATCTACACCTGGGATATCAACAAGTTAGTAAACATTATGTGTGGGAAAGAAGTGGTAAAAACTGAATTGATCACCTTGATGGGTCATTGAGGTACTACAGGCCCCCAATATGTCTACATGGTCAGGAAACTTATTGCCAATATTCCAAGAGATATTTTGTTCTCATATACACAAGGTAATAAGACCAAATCCAAATAAATAAATAAATATTTTATTATCTATTAATTGGATTTGGTCCATGTTGGTCATTACCTTGTGTTCTTCTTCTTTCTTATCTCTACACATGGAGTACAAATGTTGCTCATCCTGTATCCCTGGATTAGGAGCCCTTACAGGGTACTATCAGCTGGGCCAGCTGAACCAAGGTTTTATAGTGAGCTTGTTACTGCTCCTCCTCCTTTTTCATCTGGGCTTGGGACCGGCAAAGGCGGAGTTGGGGAAAGAAGTGGTAAAACTGAATTGATCACCTTGATGGGTCATTGAGGTACTACAGGCCTCCAATATGTCTACATGGTCAGGAAACTTATTGCCAATATTCCAAGAGATATTTTGTTCTCATATATGTGTGTGTAATTAAAGGGAGATGCCTCTTTTTGGTACATATATGTATAAAATTACAAAACTATTTTAGACACGTAATATTCTTTTCTCAAAATAAAACAATTTCTACTGCCCTTACTGCAATGGAAAAATTATATTACGCATCTAAAATAGTTTTGTAATTTGATAATAGATCGCGCTAGTGCATCGTAATATAATTGTTCGAATAAAAGACACAAATTGATATTTGCAGAAGAGCGATTGCTCGAAGCATATTATATATTTATAATTATAAGTAATTCTACTGTCCTAAATGCTTATGTCCATAGTTCATCTAAAATACCCATTCAAAGAGTCAAGCATCAGTATCACTATAAAAGGAAGTTCCAAAAATGCAATATAACAGCGGTATGGTAGATTAAACTGGCGAAACCGCTGGGAGGGTTCACCACTGATGAGCCAGGCCCTCCCTATAATTTTTCCATTGCAGTAAGGGCAGTAGAAATTGTTTTATTTTAAAAAGAATATTACGCGTCTAAAATAGTTTCATAATTTGATAATAGATGGCGCTCTAGTGCATCAACATATATGTATGTTTGTACTTTTTTTAGAAATGCAAAAAATATATTTTTTCACACCATGCTTACATAAAATATTTTAGATTTGGGAGACAAAACATCTGTAATACTTTGTGTGAAGCTATGGCCTCATCAAAGCAGCTTTCACATGATAGAAGGGAAATCAAAGCTGTCCTGAGAGGCCATTAGCTTCAAACAAAGTTTTACATAAAATTCTCAGATTACACTCCTAAAGTAAACATTTTCCACAGATTAAGTCAATTTCATCACTATCATGAGACAGGATGAAATCAGTCATGAAATTGACTTTGAAAAATGTTTACTTTAGGAGTGTAACCTGTGAATTTTATGTACACAGGAGTGTAACTTTGGAATTCTGTGCAAGGAGCACCTAGGGACAGGAGTGTAGCTGGGGAATTCTGTGCAAGGAGCACCTAGGGACAGGAGTGTAGCTGGGGAATTCTGTGCAAGGAGCACCTAGGGACAGGAGTGTAGCCTGGAAATTTTGTGCAAGGAGCACCTAGGGGCAGGAGTGTAGCCTGGAAATTTTTTGCAAGGAGCACCTAGGGGCAGGAGTGTAGCCTGGAAATTTTGTGCAAGGAGCACCTAGGGGCAGGAGTGTAGCCTGGAAATTTTGTGCAAAGAGCACCTAGTGGCAGGAGTGTAGCCTGGAAATTTTGTGCAAGGAGCACCTAGGGGCAGGAGTGTAGCCTGGAAATTTTGTGCAAGGAGCACCTAGGGACAGGAGTGTAGCCTGGAAATTTTGTGCAAGGAGCACCTAGGGACAGGAGTGTAGCACTATTTAAAGGGCTAATGTAGAGTTAGAATATTCTCCATCAATGCCCCACCCTTGGTCCATTTCCTGGCGAACAACATGAAATAATTAAATGTCCTGTCTGGCAGGTACACAGAGAGCAACGTCCAATACCAGCAAGTCCTGTACACCAAGGGACTGATGCGCATGCGGCTCAGCCCTGACAGCTCCAAGATGATCATCTGCACGCTGAACGGCTACCTCATGGTCATCCACGACCTGGATTTCGACCATCTCAAGTCTGACTTGCATGGCTTTAAGGTGGGTGGATACACATGTCTTTTAAAATTCCAATAATATCTTCTTCTTCTTCTCATATCTCCACTCAATCATATTAGGGTATCAAGCCTGTAGAGCTTGTTGATGGTGTCTGCTGGGGAAGAGTAGAGCTCATCAATGGATGAGTCAATACAGTCAATAATGTTTTTTGGGGTGCAGGTTGACACTTAGTTCATAGTGGGAAAACCTTGCAACCATTCTGGACTGGTTTCCAATAAAATGTACTCAATTTATATCATACCTATTTCCTTTTCTCACTCCTAGCTTCCACTAAACTTAATCACAATGTCTGCAGGAATGGAAATCTAATGCTGCACATGACTGGTACAGAGCAGGAGGGACAATTCTGTCCTCCCAAGAAAACAAGTCTTTGATTTCCAGACTTAAGGTTTTCCCACTATGTACTAAGTGTCAACCTGCAACCCCAAAACACATTATTGACTCATCCCTTAATGAGCTCTACTCATCCCCAGCAGACACCATCAACAAGCTTTACAAGCTTGATGCCCTAATATGATTGAGTGGAAATAAGAAAGAAGAAGACCAAACTTAATGGAACACTTGAAATTTACATTGAGGCAGTAAAATAAGTATTTCAGTTTAGACAACCAGGGTATTTTCTCTACTAGTACCTACTCTTATAAATACACTCAATGACAAAATATTCGATGCACCAAAACAAGTCTGACTACAGCGGTGATCTCTCATCCATAGAGCACATCTGAGACATGATGGGAAGGTGATTGCAACCATTCAGGAATGTTGACTATTTATCCCGAAAGTTGAAGACAGAAATCCCACAACGCACACCATCCGGAATCTCTATCAGTCCATGACATGCCGGGTAGCAGCCTACATCCAGGCCAGTGGGGGTCCAATGACATTGACTTTCTCAATTTTATGACGATCAAACTCTGGAATAGAATAACTGTTCTCAAAATCGTTTTCCACCTATACATATTCTTTACATACACCCATTTCTGTCCCAATCTGACAACTATTTCTTGGTGTGTCAATTTTTTTGTTATAGAGTGTAAATATGTGGAAGTGTATGAAAGATTGTGCAGCTTTGTTGGATCAACACCCAGTTCCCCTTGTTATAAGGTTTAGTGAAGTGTGTGACCATTTATGCAAATAAAATGGTACTTATGCCATTTGTGTAGTTTCAACATTCTTTGCTGAACTTTTTCCAATAATCTGTATATGGATACATTTAAGATGTCAAAACTAAGTTAAAAATTAAGATTACCGAATACACATAGACAAATGTAAGTTGTGTTTAAAGGCCACAGTAAAATGCCTACTGCTTCTTAAATAATTCATTCTATCTCGTAACCTTTTCTTTTGTTACCTTTTGGGGCATGAAGTACAAAGAATGTTTAAACTCCATTAAATTTGTTAAATCAACATTAAAAATGAGGTTATAAATATACCTACCATTTTTCTGTTTAAACATCCATGTCTATTTAGATAGCTTCTATTGGATACCACATGTCTTTTGTTACCAAAATATAGTAATTGTAGAACCTCCATGTGAGAACACCTCTCTATAAAGGACAGTTTTCAAAATTACCATTTTTACCATTTAGCAACTCTCCGGTAATAGGACACCTCTCCCTAAAGGACACTTTGGCTCTGCAATTAGGTGTTGTCCTTTACAGGGAGGTTCTACTGTGTAATGCACCTTATATATGCATTGAAAAAATAATAATTGTAAGCAACTTTATTTCTTCCTATGGTGTGTTGATAAGAGGAATGTGGGGATGGAGGGAGGTATACCACTAGAAGTAGGTTGGCCAAATCAGCCAGGTGTGTGCAGCCCAACTCCTACAGGAAGATCCAGGCTTCCAATGTGGAGTGGCCCAAACTGGGGGCCTACAACCGCCTGTTTTCAGCCCGTCGCAACCGCGTGGAGCTGATAGCAGACTTCCCAGAGGCCAATGAGGCTGCCGTGATATCCTCCCTACAGGTGCACCCCCAGGGTTGGTGTGTACTCTCTCGCAACACCTCCTCGGACGAGCAAACAGAGGTAACATTGATACTGAGTGTAACGTGTGATTACCATATTCCATACTTAGACAGTAAATTGATAATACAATACAATATAATGCAGCTTGTGATTGTAAAACAACATTTGAAAATTATCCCGCATGTGTTTCTTTTGAACGAAAAATCAAAATTTATTTTAAGGAGAAATAACAGCCATTTCTAACCTTAGGAATGAAGTATGAAAGGATGAATTATGAAGAGTAATGATAAACGGAAAAAGTCTAGTGCCTAGTGGACATGGCATCTGCCCAGTAAGCGGAACACTGTGGGTTCGATTCCCATCTCACAGAGTACATTACAGAGTAAATTGAACAAAAAAAAAAAAATTTTCTGAAAGCTCTAACAGAGTTGTGATATCCAGTAATCAGAATTCATTCACCACCATTGGTTAATAGAAAACTTTCAGTTTTTAATACATGTAAATTATATTATTTCTTTACAGCCATGCCAATATCTATAGCTAGCTAAAACATATTAAGTATTACTCCTATTTGAAATATTTTTACTCTGTTTTTTATTTACAATTCATAGAGTAAGTTTTTTTTATATTTAATTAAAGGAAAATTAATATATATGCCATAATTTGGATTATAATAATTACAACAGTTGATTTCCAGCTGCTACAAAGGATAACCTCTCTCTGGAAATCTACCCCTGGTACACCCCCATTCCTAACAAATCTTCTTTCCACACCCTTACTAGGCAAGAACAAACGGTGATTTCAAGATTACGAACAGGACATCTTAGAATGCTCAAATTTAATGGAAAAATCAAAACATTCCCGAAATGCCCCAAATACGATTCCCAACCAGCCAGTCCTGAAATCTATTAAATTGTATCAAAACCTCCAAAAAAGACCTCTGGGAAAACCCCAGGACTATAATAGAAAAGCTGAGACAATGGGTCCTAAAGGAATAAGCAACAACAACAGAGGATGTCTTGTGAAAAAGTCATCTCCGATTGTGAAACTGAAAGTTGCTGATGGCTTCTGCCATCTATTGGAATAAATATCAGCAAGTCATTGATTATTCCAGACTATTGACTAGCCATGTTTTTTTTTTTTTGACCAATTTTTTTTTGGTTGTTTCACCACATTGATGAGGGCCAACAGTCTGTTATACACGCATTGTTGGCTTTTCTCGATTTATAAAAAAATAAATCTGGGCAATTGGCATACCTGAGTGCATTTTTATCTGAGCTCATATGTATAAACTATAAAATGTACTCAAAATAATAAGACCAAATCCAAATAAATAAATAGTGTGTGATGTTTCAGCGTTGTTACCATCTTCAGACAAAAGTGTGCTAAATGAGAAAAAATACCACAGCATGTTTTAAATAGTTACTGTTATCAAGTTTGTAAACAAGATAGCAGATAACAGTAATAACTATTTAAAACATGCTGTGATATTTTTTCTCATTCAGCACTTTTGTCTGAAGATGCTAACAACTCTGAAACGTCACACACTATATATTTATTGGGATTTGGTCTTATTACCTTGTTTTTATAATCTATAACTTGAATCATGAAAATTTCTCTTATAGCACTGTAAAAAGATTATAAAAACGAAGAGAAAATTATTTATTTTTACTATACATGGGCTACGAGCTTTCGGGCAGCCTCGCCCTTCTACAGGTTCTACCTGTAGAAGGGCGAGGCTGCCCGAAAGCTCGTAGCCCATGTATAGTAAAAATAAATAATTTTCTCTTCGTTTTTATAATCTTTTTATAATCTATAATCCCAATTGTGCTCCATCATTTATAAAATGTGCTGTTTTGGAATCAAATCATATTCTTGTTACAATAATATTGTAACAGGGAAAATTGAGGGAAGACAAAACATGGAGAAAGCAAACACAAGGTAATAAGACCAAATCCAAATAAAAAAATAGTGTGTGACGTTTCGGTAACAGCGTTGTTACCATCTTCAGACAAAAGTACTGAATGGTAGATTCAGTATGGTTTCAGTATGGATTCAGTATGGTCCATTAAGATGGTAACAATGCTGTTATAGAAACGTCACACACTATTTATTTATTTGGATTAGGTCTTATTACCTTGTGTTTATAATCTATAATCCAAATTGTACCTTATCAATGGAGAAAGCAATGTATTTCCAACACAATTACCAACTTATCTACATGAAAGAGAGGCAATGAGAGAAATGCTGGGGGGGGGGATACTTCAGTTGATCAAAATACTCTGACACATATTGTGACTTGGGTTCTCCCCAAGTGAATAATGCTTTAGCAACTATTATTTATTATGATTTGGATTATCTATATATATAAAAATCAATGTTTGTATGTCCGGTATACAAATTCGCAGTAGTTCACTAATTCAAACCAAAATTTCCATACATAGGTAAAAAGATACGGGGAAGACGATAGGCTCTTTAAAAATATATATAAATCAATTATTAAAACTATATATTCAAATTATTCTACTTAGCTCACGAACAGCGCCCTCTATCAAAGATTAGATTAAATTATGCTGATGCAAACAAATAGATAATGCTAATAACAAACAATTATAAAAAAAAATCTTTTCTAAATATATATCACTCAGGTAGATATGCACACGGGTCAATCCCGGGGCGAAGCCCGGGTCACCCGTCTAGTAGATTATAAACACAAGGTAATAAGACCAAATCCAAATAAATAAATAGTGTGTGATGTTTCGGTAACAGCGTTGTTGCCATTTTCAGACAAAAGTACTGAATACTTTTGTTTTACTCAGTATATATATATTACTCAGTACTTTTGTCTGAAGATGGTAACAACGCTGTTACCGAAACTTCACACACTATTTATTTATTTGGATTTGGTCTTATTACCTTGTGTATATTATTTATTATGGCCTTGAGGGACTCTCTTTGGAGCTCCTGTTGAATGAGGTGGTGAGAAACAGAGCTGGAGCGTTTGCATTGTTCAAATTTTGGAAGACGGCTGAAGAGAAGGGGGAGCTATATACATAATCTAATTGATGTAAATAATTATATGTAAATAATCTTTGTCAGGATTAGAATGACGAATCCTGTATGGGACTTTGATTCCAGTAAAAGGCTTGTTGCTGCTGTTGTATATAGTCACAGTGTAGAAAATACTATACTATACCTTTTTTTTTTGCTTATCCCTAGTACACTTGGGTACAAGCCATGATAATCATGGTGGGTAGTTAGCGACTGCTTTTACTGTAAGCGCACCACATGTCTACACATGTGTAAAGCAGTTCGACTTTGCACTTACAAATGTGCCAGAGCCCTGTTTGGTTACTTGCACTCACTAGTGGGGTTGGACTTTTGCAAGAATCGGGGGCCATTGGAGCATTTTTTTTTAAACAGAAAAAAGTGTCCAATGCAGGAATCGAACCCGGGTCGTAGTGGTAAAAAACCAAACGGTTTAACCAGCCTTCCACCGACCCCCCTTATTATATATATATATACCTACTACATATATCTCTGTATTCTTAGTTCTCTTCTCTTCAATTACTCTGTAAACTGGCAAATCCTTTATAGGATGAGAGGTCCTTAATAAAGGCTTTTGTTGTATTATTTATTATATATATGTGAGCTTGCTTATCACTCTAAAGTGAATGATAAGGTACAATTTAGGTTATAAGCTAGAAACATAAGTTAACAAGATCAAATAAATAATGAATGATAGATTCTGTAACAATACCACAGCATGTTTTAAATAGTTACTGTTATCAAGTATTTTAACAAGATAGTAGATAGGGGGTCGGTGGAAGGATGGTCTAAACCGTTGGTTTTAGACCGCTACGACCCATGTTCGATTCCCACATTGGGCACTTTTTTCTGATTTAAAAAAAAAAAAATGCTCCAATGGTTCCGATTCTTGCAAAATTCCAACCCCACCAGCGAGTGCAAGTAACCAAACGGGGCTCTGGCACATTTGTAAATGCAAAGTCGAACTGCTTTTCACATGTGTAGACATGTGGTGCACTTACAGTAAAAGCAGTCGCTTTCTTCTACCCACCATGATTATTATGGCCTGTACCACGTGTACTAGGGATAAGCAAAAAGATAGCAGATAAGAAGAAAATAGTTTTCTAAGAAACCTGACATGTTGTTCTTAAAATTAGAAGTGAAAAAGCCCTCTATTAAAAGCTTTCATTTAACTTGCTTCCCTGTCTGTCCGTCTGTCTGTCTGTCCACAAATATTGTAATCAACTTTTAATATACTTCTAGAGCACGTAGGAATCTGAAATTTGGTACTTTTAAAAACCCGATGACAATGCAAGTTGGCAATATCAGACTTCTGGGTGGTCGGAATGGCCAGGAATGGACAAATTTCCAAATTGCCTTTCAAATTTTGTGAATTAATTTTAATATACCTCCAGATCACATAGAAGTATGAAGCTTTTAACACTCACTCAGTCCAATGAACAATGCAAGTGTTCAAATTTTCAGACTTCTGGGTGGTCGGAGTGGACAGGAATGAACAAATTTCTATATTTCTTCAAAAAAAAAAATTTCTTAAATAATATACATAATTTCTTTCTTCTTGTGCCTTATCATCCTCTTTCTTATCTCCACTCAATCATATCAGGGTATCAAGTTGTGACCCTTGATGGTGTCTGTTTGACAACCATCTTGACTGGGTGAAGTAGAATGCCTTTGTCATTAAGACTGGGAGCACTACTCAGTGGCAGGCCGACTTAGCTTCAAAAGAAATGGCGGCCTCTGACATGAGGAACAGATGTCATGTGCAGCCGCTCCTAACATGGAGTACAAACGCTGCTCATCCTGTATCCCTGGATCAGGAGCCCTTACAGGGTACTATCAGCCGGGCCAGCTGAATCCAGGTTTTTTAGCAAGCTTGTTACTGCTCCCCCTCCTCCATCCGGGCTTGGGACCGGCGAAGTTCAATTATCAATGAACAAGATGATCACATAAAACAATGATCAGTTGGAATAACATTCCAATAGACACCACCAACGTTCAGCTACGCAATCGGAAAATGCCTTTTTTTACATTTTATTATCTAATCCCAATGCAAAAATTCACTTTTATACTTTTGTTCATAGAGAATATATATATTTTTTAAATAATTAATTCAGTCAATGTTCATTACAAAATTGAGATTCTGTGATGTACCCTAATTCTACATCACTAGTCTTAAATAACGGAAGATTTTTTAAAGTACATTTTTGAGATCCAGTTTATTTTCTAGAAGCATTTAACTATTAAAGAGTCCTCAGCAGAGCTAACTGCTACAGGGCACATCTTCAGGTGGGGGATAGGGGAATGACCTTCAGGAAAGAAGGCC